CAGGATACCCTCTAGGTGATAGTTGTTGATTACTTTTTGATAAATAATTCGTTCTTATTGCGAAATAGGAGCACTATTTATCAATCTGTAATAAAGGACGTGAGGAAATTCTGTCTTTCTTAAAGACGAAAATTTTTGAGACGAAATACCCAAAAAGAAGTTTGTAAAAAAATGAATCCGCCTCAACAATATAGAACTTATCTAAAATTTCCTTTGTTTTCAACTGACCGAACACCATAATTGACGTTTCATCACACCTGAACTTTCGATAATAGAACGAATCAAAACTGAACGATCCCTATTCTATGCGAAAAATCTCCTATTTATCCTGATCGATATTCCTTCCACATCCACCATAAAATTGCCCCGCAATATCAGTCCTTAAATCAGAAACTTGCAAAACAGAACCCATAAATCGAACGAATAGCATCCTAAAATATAAATAAAACGGGCATTAGAGGTGCCATCGATCAGAAATAGATGGGAAAGCAGCAAGTTGTGAAAATAAACGAGATTTTTGCATTGGAAGCGTAATTATTGCAAGAAGTTCAAATATATTTTTCTTTGCGTCAATAAAACGATATGAACGGACCCGATTCGGAACAAAGCGTTTGGTTGTTGGAGGGTTAATTGTGAAATTTCAGGCATCATTGCGTCGCTGAAACATCAAACCGAACCCTCTTGGCGCAATTTTTCACGTCGACTTCCACACTCGATACGTCGCGCGATATTTTTGTTGCTTTGCCATCTTTTTCACATATTTTTCCTGCTCCGGCTCTTAGTCTTAGTAAAGCAATTTCGGGCTGTCACTTTACGCGACGCAATTTACTAGGCGCCAGCTACACTAAATGTTTTTACATTTCCGTGTCAGCTTCTAAACTCTCTTGCGATTGAACAGCGAATTTAAAATTTTAATCATCTGAAATCTACCTACATTCACTAGCGTCTTGCGTTAGTCAATAATCTCCAATAAATACTCATTTGTTTATAGCTCTGCCTAAGGCTTTTGACACCGTCCCTCAATCTAGAAACCCTCAACTTCACTTGGGCACACACAAAAAAACGCACATTTAGCGAACTCTAACAAAGGTTACTAGTATTTTTAATTATTCAACACTGTTGATGATAAAATTGGACCACTGCTCATAAAGTCACACTTTGGCCCCTAATATAGAAGTGTTTTTTCAAAGGGTGGAAACGCAATTTGTTCGAAAAGGCTCACCAAACAGGGCCCAATTTCGACCGGGAAAATCCGGTTTTCCACCTGGTCCAGAGTACAATAAAAGTTAATTAGGAAATCATAATTAGAGAGTGGCATGCGGTCATGCCGTGGGCCGGTTTAAATTCACTGCGAGTAATTAAAAATTCCTGCGAATGGATTGCAACGATTGACAACATTTTAATTAATAGAAATTCTCATTACAGCAGACACGATGCATGAGTCTCGAGGGCACGCGCTTAATTAGGGTGGCCATATTGAGACGGAAAGGATGCAAGTTTTTGATTTAATTATCCTGAGGATAATTAAATCAAAAGCAAGGAGGATATTAATGGAGATGTCGAGCACTGTTCCTAACCAAAGACAATGCAATTGAAATTGTTCAACTTGAAATTAATACTTAAGTGGGTTTAGTTTCAATGTTTCTCCACGTACCGTTCTGTACGTTTGTTACTAGGAATTTTCCTACATCATTTTATAAGCAGTTGAAGTTTTAACATGCTGGTTTAGTTCCACACTTTTTTATAAATATTTTTTAAACTTGGTTTCCTTTCAAGATTCAAAGGCGATTCGTCACTTGCACCGCTTGCATTTGCGCTTACGCCCTCGAACAACATTTTCCAATTTTTCTAAACATTCAGAATTTTTTATACTACTTTTCGTCCTTAAAATTAAGAACAAGCACAAAATTTGTGAAAAAATTTAATGCCAAACAGGAAAATCGCCGCTGCTATCAGCATTATCCCGCATAAGCATTAGGTAAATACACGTAGGTTTAATGTGTGTAAATCCATATTGATAACAAGTGAAACCAGAAAGTATTTGCAAAAAAGAACAATTCCCAGTCATGTTACTGATYTGAATGCTTAACTAGCCTTTATTGGGTGCATTTTTCCATGTTCTTCCATTATTTCAATCTAGACAGGAACTAGTTCTTGAAATAAATAGAACTTCGTTCTCTCCCACTGAACCCTTACGGACCAGGGGGCAAATTTCGAACCACCACCCTAAATATATGTAGGGATATTTATTTGAAAAACACTCGCTTAGCGATCAGCAAATAGGCTCGACGTGAATCACATCCATTTTTGTATATGCAAATATTCTAATTACTAGTGGAGCATGGCGAAAATACGCAAAGAAATGATAACAACAACCCAAAAGCGTGAAGTGTTCGCTTTTCAAGAACAGCTGGAAAATTGCACAATTAATTTGTTTGCAAGTTCAACAACAAGTAGGCGATATTTGAATAACGATATAATGAGGAGTCGCACCTAAATGAGCAAATAATTATGAAATCACTACTAAGTTTAAATGAAAGAAATCCTTATCAATAATTGGTTATTTGTGTTTGACCAGAAAATGTAATTGGCGCGTTATCTTCCTAATTGTTTTCAGTCAGACTGGTATTTTTTTAATTTTGTGGCCCCGCAAACATTCAGTTTAGGTTCGTTAAAAGTTTTCAATTTAAAAAAAAATTGCACGTTTCTGTGCGTTATTCAAGACTTCAGTGCACAGTTCCTGTAATTCTCCAACTTGCCCCAATTGAGCAAACCAAAAAAAGTTTTGAGTTCAGGTGCGGTCCTGCTGCTGATGAAAAAGTTAATCAATCGACGTAAAACAATATTTCTCTGACAATTGATACTACTAGTAGCCGTCACAGTCACGCATACATTTTCGGTTTTTGCGCATAAAATTCATCAATTTTTTCCTGTTTTTTGCCTGAAAAATCTCATAAATTTATCAGTGAATTGGCCTCATATAAACTATGTAAATATGGTAAAACGATTTCAAGCCGTGGCAGTAGTTTTGCAGTAGTTCTTGAACTGTGTTATTTTGAATGTACATATGGTCATTTGTTGGCTTTTCAACGGCTCAATCAAAATGGTTCCTTATCATGAACCAGGTAATTTATAACTCCATAATTACCACTCTTAATCCATAATGGTTCTGATCTTATGAGTGTTTTGTGCTTTGAAACCGTCCTTGATAAAAATGAATTATTTGGGACTAAATTCCACTACTTAGCATGTTGATTTTCAGGTGAAAAATACGGTCATTATTTCTTGAAAATCCTGGACGAGCAGAGTAACAGATTGTTGGTACTGGCCCACAGAGTGGGCGACGATATTGAAATGAAATTTAAAAATTTAAAATTTTAAAAATAATAAAACGAAATTATCGGCAAATTAAGATCAGCATCCGGCAAGGCCAAACTGCTGGTTTCGCAGAAAATACAACAATTCAAAGGGCTGTGTACTAATAATATTAACCAGGTACTGGAGACAATTGATACTAAATGCCAAGATAAACACAATGAATGGTTTTAGTGTACAGGAGAAGCATTCCCGATTACTAATCAAGACTTGCAAGGCTTTTGGGACATCGTCATGTTGCAAGTGGACCAGGTGGATAAGATTTTTGAAGATATAAACACATTGCGGCAGAATAATTGGATCGAGGTAAGATTTAAGGTTTGCAGATACGCTACGCACCCAAATTTATCTCCAAAATAATCTCCCGATTATGAAAACATTTCGATCGCTAAACACGGTTATATCAGGGGTTTACCGAAGAGATAACCAAAGCAACTATCTAAAAAAAGTTAAGTTTTCCAGTCCAATAAAACAATTAAGTTCGCCAGTCATTTACAGGAAAAACCAAGATTCCCATGTTTGGTGCAATTTGAAATACTTCTGGTGCCCAGTCGATTAAATTTTAAACAAATTTTCTTATTTCTGTTGTATTTTACAAAGAGAGAATCTATTGCAGGATACCACGAAAAAAGTGGAAGTGAAAAGGCGCTTCAACAAAACCACGCAAAATAGTATGAAAGCCGAAGATGAATGAGGCAGCTGAACAAGCTTCAGGATAGTTGATTCGACAAATTATTTTCCGTGTGAACTTTTCTTGTATTGTGCTTATGTAAAATTTCGGGAAAATCCTATCGAAAATCAATAGCAAAATAAATTGCGGTCCTGCGTTGGCGAAATAAGTCGCATATTTTATCCCACCTTGCTAATGATATGGAAGACGATTGAGCGCAGCCTTTCCAGGCTTGAAATGGAAAAAAGTTTTCTCGTCATTTAACCAGTTGATTGTGACGATAGCTGAAAATATCCAGCAAGGCACCGAATAGGTAAATTCATTCTGCATATCGTATGAGAACCGTTGGTTTAGGTTTGGAGTTGGAAACATGTAAATAAAGGCCAAATTTTAAAAGGGAAGTTTATTTCGCTTTTAAAATTTCCACATCAGACATATTCCGCAAAAGTTTCCTCAAAGAACAACCTTTGCCGGACATACAAACTCAGGGCCTACAAGTGCAAATTAGTCTTGCCTAAGTCCCACCTTAAGTCGGTAGTGATTGCCAATTATCTTTGAGTTTAATTGATGAAGTGAAGTGGGCGAAATTAATTAAGTTTTCTGGGCTGAAGATGGCTCATGAATTCCAGTCAGGTAAATGCCAAGAACCAATGGAGATTATCTCCATTAATCCACCCACGTCTGGCTGCCAGAGTTTGCCTCTTATTGCCTGGCGCAAAAAGAAAAACTTTTCATAACTCTTCCTAGTTCACTTTCTCCAGCATTGTGGTCAAACTGGAAGAAAAACGACTTTTCCAGCCCGTTTCTCCATGGTGCTATTTATATTAAAATCGCTGGCGAAATTGTAATTCCGAATGGAAATCGTCGACCCCGATCTTTATTATACTGAAAATTATTTGAAAAGTCGGCAATTAGGACACTAAATCGAGCCCGAGGGTGAGTTATATTTTTCTGCGTTAACCGAAATGTTCAGGGCGCTTTCGTCAATTCTCAGACTGCAATAAAATGTAACAAGAAAGGACTATCCAGTCTTCAATTGCGGCTGATGCAGATGAGAATCATTGCATTTTCCTCGGGTTTATTGGAGACATTTGCTGACACTCCATCGTCCAGTTTTTCCTTTTGGAACTTTATTGTGGCCAAAGTTTTCCGGATGAAACCGAACTTTCTGCCATACTACTGAAAATTTTGTTTTTAGAGGAAACCATTGAAAATTGCACAATTGATATAGATTTGAGAGCAGTATTGAAGCTTGCAATTAAAGACGTTGGAAAGGCGTTCAAGTTTTTATTCCGCTACTGGTTTTTAGCGGGTTTATATTTGGAGTTTTCACTTCTTATGAACAAAACTCAACATTTGCTCTTCTAATGGCTAATTGATTATCCAATTTGAAACTATACGCTAACCATTGTGAACATATCACCGACAAAGGAAAACAAACAATTTCGACGACAGTTTGCACTTTTGGTATAGGTCTAAGGAATTCGGGCTTCTGAAAACATTGCGTCATTCATCTTGTTCCCTATGCCCTTTTCCCAAAGGAATTTATTTAATTCGGGCGTCTTGCCCTTTTTCGTCCCTATTGCCTCAATTTTCTCAGACTGAGGACAATATATAAGCGATATTACATTTATTCCTTGTAACTTAACTTCAGTCGTTTTGGTTCATGTGTACTTCTAAAAACCGGTAACATCGCGGTTCGGTTTCACATTTGGGCATTTGAAAGTGCCACTATCGCAACTCACGAGACGTAAATCATAAATCTAAGCTTACCATACCGGGTATTTAAATACAGAAACATACAATGCCTATTTCCTTTCAGTATGGTTTGCATTAAAGATGTTTCCTTTAAAGCGTGTATAAATTACTGGTGTACGTTGCGCCTAAGAAATTGCATTTGCTGCACCAACCCAAAACCTACGAGAAGCAGTTAAAATGTAAATTATTTGTCGGTAGGCGGTAGTAGGTAAAATTAATTTTCCAGCCGTTGTTTGTTATCACAAGTCCTGAATTAGAGCCGAGGGTAATTCGGATATTGTGTTATTTAGTCGGAATTTTGAAATTCGAGGATTAATGTTCCATAGAAATCCGTCATATTCATAAATATTCTACCCGCCTCTGGCTCGGCTGGTGATTCCATAATTTCATACTTGGCACCTTTTCCATTTTGTATTTAAAACAGCCAGTAAACAAAAATTAGAGCAGAGACAGAAATAAAGCTGGTTAGTTTTTAGTTTAGAAAACAGTAAAAATGGGAAAGTATCTAAGTACATAAAAATTTTAGGCAATATTGAGACAAATTGGTAACAAAAGGCAAATAATAATTTGATGTTGGCTGATTTACAATATCAGTCCTACTTTTTGTTTTGCTGCTTTCTAGACCCTCAATCTTTGTTGTCTATTTCTCGTTTTTTCGTTTTTTCTACTGCAGTATCCGTTTTCTCCATAATTCTGACTCCTTGCGACGCAAGCTTAATGATTTACTTTTTAGGCATCATCAAATATTTCAATATCATATATCAATCATTAGTGCCATTTTCTGGTATTGTTGTTTGCTAATCAGTTGAAAGCTGTACATTTCAGGAATCAAATGTTCTTCTTGTGAGAGAAAGAATGCAGAAAATAGCTGTCCAAACCCAACTCGTTGTTTTATTGCATAGAAGATTTTCAATCTTTTTCCTTTTTTTTGTTCTTCCGTTTCTTCGACTGAAGTGTACGTTTTCCCATAATTCGCACTCCTTTGGATGTAAGCTTAACCATTTCATTTTTTGGGCATCTTTGAGGATTTAAAAAGAAAGCTACAAAAGTATTTGGTCACATAATGAACTATCCTCTTGTTTTACTTAAATAAATTTTCCTTTTCACATTTGGTGCAATTTATTTATTATGTTCTCCTTCTACTGACGATATGCAAATAATTGGAAATTTTTATTAGTGCCACTTTATGGCAATGTTGGTTGCTAATCAGTTCAAAACTACAGTTTGCAGCAAACAAATATAACAAACAGTTCATATTCAAGTTTTGCCGCTATGTGAACGCTTGAATTGAAACAGATTTATGAAAAGCCAGCGGATTTATGAACATCGCTGCTCGACAGTACGACAACCTTTTATTTTAACACACTTCAGACATCAAAACTCGACAATTGTAGCACGCTCTTAACATTCGCACTTTTACAAGAGCCCTTTACAGTTCCACATTTTGAGGAAGTTTGGTGTTGTTTTCGTGGATTAATATAAAGTGCTTTTCAGCACGTCTGACTCTTTTATTTTACGCCAACAATGATGAATCGTTCTCTTTAATAACACATTCTATAGCTTTTCTGCAGTTCATTAACTTGGATCTACTAATTAGGCACTGCTCAGAGCTGGCGATGACAATGGGAAATTCTTAGGGTGTGAAGTGCTCAAGTGCACTTATATGTGGTAAAATTAAAGAAAAAAAAATGACTTGAAACTGAAGAGATATTTCAGAATCAGATATTAGTTGAAAAGTATTTGCCATAAAAATCAATACCAAATATATGAATGTTTCAAAAGTGTCTTACTTTCACTAATAAGCTCTGATGTCCAGCTGAAAATCCGTAATTAGCTGCTGCAATCACATACACGAATTGGTCTCAGAGGGATCAGTAATTAGGCAACAAGCGTGATTAATTGCGTGACCGTTTGCGTCCACGATTAAACCCGACAGACTCGGTAATTACTAGATGTTGGTATCGGTCTTCCAAGTTACGTGTGCAGTTTAGTCAAATTAATTTTATTTCCTTACCCACTAGCTCTTCAGGTGGCGAATTTCTGCGAAATGCTATCGATTCCAGCCCTTCACAGGGCTAAGCAAGTTCAGACCAAAGAAGAAAAGAGAAAATGCTTAATCCGACTATTAAAATTTGCATGCACCCACCAGAACACATGGAAAAGCCAAAAAGACCTCGGAAATTTCAAACCCTTGACGATCCGAGTAAATAACTCAACTCTTCCAAACGATAAGGGCGCTTGTAAAAGTGAAAATTTGCGACAATTTCTTTTGTGGTCGTTTCGTATTCGAAGTTTGCGGGGTTGGAGGTTATTATCCGCGGAAGTGTTGAAGTATAATTATGGCGGGCCTACGCCCTTTAATGAGGGGCGGCATTGAATCAAAAGGATTTTCAACGCACAGATGTAATTAAGGTTTGCAAGGCCCTTTAAATCGATTTTTTTCACAGTCAGTGTATAATCCCGAATAAGGCGTTGCTCTAATAGGTGCTATGTAGGGCTTTGTAAGAAAAGGCTTTGTTATTTGTCGATTTTTATCTTCAGTTGTGAAAATTAGTACATAAACCAAATCGAGAATTTTAAAATTTTATACAGAAAATCAGGTTTGATAAGAAGAAGGATTTCCTATGTCAAGAATTTTAAGTCATCTAATTACGTTTTCATAGACTGCTGGTTTAAGAGTAGTAGTGAATGAAGGGAAACAAATGCTGGCAAAATGTAGTAAAAATGAAACTGAGGAAGACATCGTGAAAATCTGATTAAAAACATTTGAAATCGAGCAAGCACGCATAAAATTTTGTCAGTTTTTGCCTTGAATTTATTGTTTTTCCAGTTTTCGATATTATGAATTTTTCGTTAAAATAACTATTAACACAAAATTTCAGGAAACTATCATTAAACTGGAAACAGTTCACTAAAACTAGTGCATTTTTCGGGTTGACTGTTATCTTGCCGATGTTTCGCATGCACGAGAGGTTTGCATCTTCAGAGGTGGTTTATTTGGCGCAGCCCGAAAAGCTCACCAGATTCAAGCAATGGCTCCGAAATCCAAACACTTTCCATAGACATTCTAGAACACTAAACATAAAAGACACAAAAATAGAAGACTAGAAAACAAAGAATCTTCATAGTCCAATAAGTTGTGAAGAACACAAATAGCGTTAATCATTCAATGAAAAAGCGAAAAAATCTTTACAATTGAAGTTGAACAATCTTTTAAGTTCTGGATAACTAACTAGAAACCTCTTCATATCGGGCCTATTGATTAAAATTTGATATTCTCAAACAGTTGTTAGTTCCCTTAAGTTTAATCTGATTGAGGAGTCAAGACCCTCAAAGTGGCTTTACCTAACTGTTGGGGCCACGTTAAGGTTCAACATCAATTTTGAGAAAATTGTGCGTGAAACGAGTTTA